GAACCGGATTGGTAAACAAGCATAAGCTTATATGAATACCCCTCTGGGATACAATGGAAGGAAGAATAAACTCGTCATGACGAATGTACAATGTGAATGATATATAAATGTTGCAAAAACGAGAAATAACACCAATCATTGTTAAAAGGTATATGTCATATAAACAAAATATTTTGGTTCAAATCTGCCTGTTAAATCTATAAAAGAGTGCACTGAAATTAAAAGTTCAATTGTTTACTATTGAGGAGCAGCGTTGGTTTCCAAACAAATTGATTTTAGGTGAAATCCTTTGGTAAAAAATACATAATTTGACGTATATCGTTGTAAAGAGTACATGAAAAGAAATGGTGAGCAGAGTCTTCATAGTTATGGCCACAAGAGCAGGATGATGTCGGAGATATAAATCTTTCATATTTGTGCGCATTAAGGTCACTACATTCAAGTTGGAGACGAGGATGTATGATTAGACAAAATCTGCTACAGAAATTTAAGTCAAAATGACTGTAGATATTACAATCGTTCAATAGGTGATGGTCAGTTAGTGAATTTTTTTATAGCCTGAAATGCTCAACATTTCCTTTAACTAAACACAGCATTGAATGTCAATTAGTGAACATGTTTTAATAGCCTGTTTTTATCCACACCTTTTGACAAGATTAATTAACAAAAGCTCTAGATTGTTTTGATAATCATTATACCATACTTGTTGAGAAAACCTATGCATTTACCGCCTCACCTTTTGACAACCACAGCTGTAGATTGTTTTGATAAGTATTATACCATACTTGCTGACAAAAACTATGCATTTATGGCCAATAAACATTTTATACAAACATTTCATTTTATTCTTGTAATTCTTTACAAAAGCATTAATAACATGCAAATAATTGGTATTATAGTGTTGTTTATACATGAATATTACTTTCGCTCTTATCAGTTTACTAATAGAAAATCTATCAGAAATATTTCTATATAATATTATCCGAAGTATATAATATGGAAGTTGACAAAAACTATGCATTTATGGCATATATTTAACCAATTTAAATACATTGGGGCATTTTGACTACCCCCCTGGGGCAATTTGACCAAACCTGGGGCGATTTGACCAAAACTCTGGGGCATTTTGACCAAATTGGCTGGGGCGTTTTGTAGCTGGGGCGATTTGACTGGCACCCATCATGCTGCCGGGATATTTCTTCGCATCTGCGGGAGGTGAATTTATGTGGTGGTCGGCAGACGACAAGAGCCCCCGCAGCAGACAGCGAGGGAAGTTTGATTTCCTACCGAATCGGCCTTTTCAGGTATGTTTGTAGAAATCACACTGGTAAGTCATTTATGATGAGAAATAAAAATGAAAAATAAGCATTGCATATATTTATATCGACAGATCTACACTATCCGAAATCGTGTATCGCTCTATGATATCTTGTCTAACAGTTGCACCAACAGGGATCCATGTTGCGATTGAATCAGATATGGTCGCATTTACGAGTAAAATTTGTAAACATGCAACCGAATATTTCAAAACACTGAGCATCAGGCGAACTTTAATGAAAATGCAGATGTTACTGTAGTTTTTGTGATATTGTTATCAGTCACATGTCGTATTTTGTCCAAATTGTAAGCACTTGGTGGCTGTTTAATTTTCAGTAGTGGTAAAATTCTGTAAAGTTTAAATGGAATTGGTTTTAAAAGTTTTAAAGTAAAAGCTACAAGAAATGGTATGTTTTAGTACATACATTAGTTTTTCTTTCAAAACTATAGATTATAGAATTGTATTTATTTTATCATTTTAGGTGTTACAGGATGTCAAGTTGCTGTAGTAACAATGGACACTGACAAACAAATTGTCAAGTCTCACAGACTGAAACAAATAAATTGTTTCAATGAAGTAGTATTCCAAGACAATGGAATACTTCTGAGAAAAGCCTATGCCATTGGAGATGGAAAATTCATTTCAAATGATGAATTGCTAAAATCTGGGAATGGACTCCAAATGTCTCATCAATCAGAATGCAAGACACTTGAGGGTTTTACTTTACCCACAGTATGTGAAGGTAAAATCAGTCGTCCACAACCTACACAAACAGATCTTGATACAGTGTACTGTTGTCCAGAGCCGGGTTGTACCAACACCTTTCCCTGTTACAGGGATGCAGAAGATCATCGATCTTGCTCTTGGCACCCACAACTGTCAACTTGTGAAGGAGTCAACGTATGACAACATAAAGCGACAGTGGGCCCGTCTCTGCAATGAAGTTGTCATTACCTACAAGGTCCGCACAACCTCACGAGTATTAGCTGCCTCAAGCTATCTACCTTATTCGATTCAAATATTTATTTCATTACTTGGCTTTGACAATATATATTTCTTTAAGTCATTTCACAAAATGAGGTGACAAAGTCCTGTTGTTAAAGAACTATTACTGGGTGACAAACGTGCAAATACAGCGGAGGATATTTGTGAACTCTGGGGTGATTACTTTGTTGATCTAGCTAAGCCTCACTGCTCTTCATCATCTAACAACTTCAAAATATCAGTTGACAGAAAGTTTACACATAATATTAAGCCAGTCTCCTCAGAATTTCATCCCAAAGATGTTCAATTGGGTTTAAATCAGGACTAAGGGCTGGCCACTGCACAATGTTGACACCTTTCTGCTGTAAGAAGTCCCGTGTAGCTCTGGAAGTATGGGCACGGGCATTATCATGCTAGAAAATGTGGTTCCGGTGACATGCGAAAAGTGGTATGGCTGAGAGCTTGGTCGATGTAGGGCACCGCTGTGATGCCGGCTCCTCTCCCTGGACCAAGGTTCTGGAACACCACAGGACCCACTCTCTGGGTCAGGCCTATTCCTCCCCATACCATGATGCTTGCACCTCCCCATGAGTCTCTTTCTTAACACATTGGTCTGAGTAACGCTGGCCACATTGTCGCCATATTCTTGTTCTGCCATCTGCAGTTGATACGCAGTACCGACTCTCATCTGTGAACAGAACAGTTCTCCATTGCCTGTATCTCCAGTTTTGGTGTTGTATGGCAAACTGTAGACGTTCACGCCGATGATGACGAGGGGTGAGGATAGGTCCATGGTGATGGTCTACGGCAATGGAGGTTCCCGATGTTAAGACGTGGGCATACTGTATCAGTACTGATTGGTCTTCCGTGTTTCCACTGTCTTGTCGTCTTCCAAACTGACGTTTCTTTTGCTGCTTAGTATATATGGCCATATGCTGTTTGTGTGAGCAGGGTTAGTGTATGAAAGAATGGGTGATAGAGATTCTGTTTGACAATGATACATATGAGTTTGAATGAGTGAATGATTTGTGTGAATGGCTTTTAGTTAATGTATATGTATATGTTGTTTGTCTGAGTAGGATTGGTGTATGGAAGGTAGTATGACAGATTATGAATCGATAATATATGGGATGTATGACAAACTGACAGGATTTTTTTATTTATATACTTATTTATTTAACTATTTATTTAACTTAGTAACTAAACTAACTAACTAACCGACTTACCCACTAACCAACTAACTCACTAATACACTAACCCACTAATACACTAACCAACTAACTCACTTGATCATTAACTCACTCACTCTATCGAGAATGAATGAAAGCTTTGAACGGATGACAAATGTAAGAATGCCAGTATGAATGTATTATTGAGTACATGTAATACCTTATTTTTAAGTGTACATGTATTATTAAAGTGTCTCATGGCCCTATGGCCGGGCATTATTTGTATTTATTTACATGCATGACACTATGTAATAAACATTTCTTCTTCCCCTCCTCCTCCTCTTCTTCTTATTCTTAAAAGTATGGTTCATACTTCAAATAAGGTGTCTGTGTTATGTTTGTGATGAGGAATATTCCATCCATGCTTTAATAAAAGTATAGAAAGCCAACACTGAAGACGTAAGTATGTGACATCTTCACTTTCTCACTGTATTTTCCATTTTGAGAAAGGTAATCTCACATTTCCTGAAAATAATAATTTTGATGACTCAGCATATTTTACTTAAGTACTTAAGAAAAAGAACTATAACAGGATTTAGTACTTGAAAATCGGTTAGCTTTTAAGTAATTTGTTAGTAATTTAGGCATGCACAGAGGGTCTACTATACTTAGCATTTTTCTTCAAAACGTCCACTTCTTAGCTAGGTTGACATTGCAAATCCCTCTGCTATTTTTTTCAGATAATGTTCCTAACAGTCCTCTTAAATACTTAAATAATACTTTCTTGTGGAATATTCAATAAATAGCTGATTTCTTTTGGTAAATGTACCAAATTGTATTCTGTCAAAATTTTGACAATATATATATATTTTTGAACTTTCAACGTTTAATAAAATAAAAAATTCAAAACTTTGCAAACTTTTTATGTCTTGCTATCACAATTTCATAATTGTATTAAGCAAAGTAATAGCAATTACAACATCAAACGTTTGCTGTTCTGAGATAAATGTCCTTAAAAATCATCAATTTTGAGTAATTTTGTTATAGGTTAAAATACCCGTGACCTTGACAACGGTTGCTATGGAGCGGTCCTCATCAACTCTTCAAAAATATAACTGAAGTGAAAGTTGTATATGTAATCTTTCAATACAAAGTAAAAGAATTCTGACTGCACGAATAGTTTTAACAATATTGTCAACGTAAAAATAGCATTTTCGTACATTTTCACATGCTATTCTGGGTCAATTTCGTAGAATAATAATTAGTGGCTAATTAATGAAAAATATTGATAGCAGAAACAATTCTGAGTGACATGACATTTTACAAGGCCAAATAAAGAGAATGACAAAATTTCAAGTGAATATGAAATTTTTGACTTATCCACCTGTGCATGATTCTTAGGTGGAATGCTACTTAAAGTCTCACCTCAACATAAAATAGAGTAGATACTGACTGCGGCGGGATGGCCTGCACATCTACAGTGTGTCTGTCATTTATTCGGGATCCGACCGGTAAAGATCATGCTGGTTGTTATTTGTTTTAGGGAATACAGTATCTAACTAAATCAACATGGCCGCCGAACCTTGATTTGACAGATGAAGTTTTGATTCAGTTTGTCGCATGTCAAGAGTAAGATATTTATTAAGAGGACTATAGTCATATCATGGTAGAATATACAATATACATGTTTACATATTTGGATCAAATGTCATCACATTAGAGCATACGGAACTAGTGTTTCAAAACGTACGTACACACAGCCAAAGTCAAGAAATCTGTTTTGCTGTAAACAAGAAGTCATACAACTCTGCAAGAGGCAAATGGTATTGTAATCACAGCTAGTTGTCACTACCGGGGTCATAGCGTTGTTTCAATGGTTCCATGTTCATAGTGTTCCAGGGCTCCAGATAAGGGCCGTATCGGCGTATGTACGGATAAAAAATATGCACGATACGATTGGAAATAATTTAGAAACGTAGCAGATACGCACCACAGCAATGGTGTACGGTCTTTGAATCATTTACAGACGTATGTATCTGAAAAAAGTATTGTTTATTGACCTGTTTACACAAGAGTAGCAATGTTGTGGTGCATATATGAAACGAAACACAAGATTACTGATAGTCCATTAACTTCCATTCAGTACTCTAAATGTACTCTTGAGGTTTTCCAGTACTCAGTATTGAACAAATAAGTAGTACGTACTCCTGATGTTGAAAAATTATCTGGATCCCTGGTGTTCAGACCCCTTAGTGATAATACACACCTAGATGTAATTGTTTGTTTCACATGCCACTGTGATTGTTATAATGAAACCACCACCAAAACAGATGTGTATTGGACAGTCATTTATTTTGCTGATGCTAACAAATAAAATTGTTAATAATGCAGGAAATTTCCAGAATTTCAGAAAACAACACAACAGGTTTTGCCATAATGACCAGTTACATATATTGAAGACTGTTGGGGGGTAGGTGTATTTGACAAAGGATACTAAAGTTTTGAAAATACTGAACCTCCCGAAATGCTTGTCATATTGTTTTTATGAACCTCCCTGAAAAGAGAAAAACACCATTGTGACATGATTACCCCAAATAGATGTACAATTTGTTAGGACCTTTCATAGAGATTGACATGCTTTGGTGACCTTCCTCTGATTCCATCCAAACACATATGTAGGTCAACTTCACATGGCAAATAGCATTAACTAAAACATAACACATGTTTAATAACATCATATTTAGTACTCTGTATTGTCAGCAGTAAATGTAAAAAATCTGTCAAAATGTATATTTGTCTCAGTACAGAAATGCAATAATATGCATGACTTCTATATCATGAATGGCTAGTCAGGATCTGTCATTCCAAAGTCAGTGGTTCCATGTGGCAGCCTGGAATGTATTCTATTTCAAATAGATCTACCGGTACTGTACTCAGGTTTGAGTGGAGTTTCTCCCAACCCATTGTCATTACTGGCCTTCTTGAAGCCCTTCAGCAAAAGCTCTAAAATGTATAGAAAAGTACTTCATTCTCAGTCATTGTCAGTTGACATTTTGAAATGATGTTTACAATAATAGGTTGCAAAATACAAAGAAACTGTTACTTCTATATCCAAAGTATGTGTGACCAAGTGGGGTTTGCTCTACCAACATAACACACAAGAGAGTATCCAGTTCATTCTGTATTCAGTAATGTTCTGTGTGATCAAGCACATGGAGCAGCCTCTCAGTTTAGCTCTCTCTCTCTGCTCTCACACCCACACTGTCTTTGTCTTAAACTCTCACACTCGCTCCAAAACAGAGGTAAAATATTAGTGCAATTTTTATTGATGGCAAAGAGCTTGAAAATTGACACTTTTCTAATTTCTAAATGGGACATCCTATCTTTTCAAACACAGTTATACTGGTGTGGTGAAATTTGCATGGCTTAATGATCTAAAGACTGCCCATTTCGTGTGGTCAGACTACGTAGCTCTTCTAAGCTTCTTCAAATGCCTGTTATGCATTTTGGTAAACTATAATTATGTTTTACATTTATATACTACTCTTATCCATACATCTATGGTTGAGTGTAGTTTATAATGGTCTACAAAACTGATTCTGTGTTTAAAGGCCATTATTCCTGTTTCCTTGATTCAGATTGACAGCCCTTTCAAAACACTAACCTAGTGGCACATTTTCAATATCATCACTGACACCAAGGAGTTATGAGATGAATTTTAACATGGTAGAACTTGATTACACAGTGAAATTAAAAAGTGGTCAAATGTAACATTTATATATTTGGGATTACACTTTCTCAGTACAGTAAGTACAGATGCCAGTACTTTTGTTGGGTTGAGTCCCATCCAGATTCGAACCCACACCCTCAGAGTCAGGCACCTAATTGCAAGCACACAAAGTCAGCCACCTAACCCGCTCAGCCACCACGACTTCCACAGATGGGACTCAACCCTCAAACATACTAGAATTTGTATTTATTAAGAAAGTGTAATCCCACATATAACATATGTTACATGGTAGGAAGTTTTCTGTGTTGTCAGTCACAGGCTGGTTTACCAGTAGATTTAACCACTCTGAATTACACCTTTTAATCATCATGTTGGATGAATTCCAAATTCAGTTTAATGAGGCTGTCTTCTAACCAGCTGCAATGATTACTCAAAACACAAACTTCTTGTTACAGATTACTCAGTAACCATGACTGGCAATGAAGGAAATGCACCAGGGTCTGGCCGGGTGAAATCTGGAAAATCAACCGCTCATTCATTTGTTAGGTTTGTGAATAACACAAAGAGAAGAGTGGACATTATCTGGCTCAACTATGAAGGTGCTCGAATCAAATATCGGACATTGCTGCCTCAGCAGTTTGTGGATGTCAACACATTTGTTGGACATCCTTGGGTTTTCCGTGATTCTGAATCCGGTGATCGCCTGGTGGTGCAGCTGAAGGAGATATATGAACCAGTTGGCTGGACACAACATGATGGTTGGCCCCCGTGTAGAAAAGTTGTACATATTTCCATTCCAGGTACTTGTAAAAGTCAAATGAATTTTGTTCCAGAACACTACATACCACAAGTAGAATGGGTCTTTTTGTGTTTCTCTTGTATTTATCAATTCATTGTTTCAAAGAGATATAAAGCACAATGAAAAGCATTTTGAGTGTTAAATGTCTGTATATCTATTTTTTGTGTCAGTGAAAATTAATCTCATCAGTTCATCTTGACATCGTCACAGAGAGCTGATGGCATGGCTGTTCATCTTTTATGCAGCCAATCATCAGCGAACATATATGTAGTGTTCCTCCATATCCATGCATGTATTTCTCAGTGTTTAAGAGACCCGGGAAAATCCGGGTTAGAATTGATCTTCAGTAACCCATGCTTGTCGTAAGAAACGACTAACGGGGCGGGCAGTCAGACTCGCTGACTTGGTTAATACATGTCATCGTATCCCAACTGCGTAGATCGATGCTTAGGCTGTTGATCACTGGATTGTATGGTCCAGACTCAATTATTTACAGATCACCGCCATATAGCTTGAATATTGCTGAGTGCGGTGTTAAACTAAACTCACTCATGTATCCATGTTAAGCTGTAACATGGTACCTCTCTAGGCAAGAACACTAACTTAGCATTAGTCTGGACATTCCGATGCAGATACCTCACCACTTTACATTACAATAATGAAAATGGCTGCACCTGTGTAACAGCAAACCCATGGAAACTTACATTTCATCTTGACTGTTATTGGGGCGGTGTGCTAGCCTCATGGTTCGTAATGCTGAAGGCCCGGGTTCAGTTTCCCACATGGGTACAATGTGTGAGGCCCATTTCTGGTATCCCAAGCCGTGATATTGCTGGAATATTGCTAAAAGCGGCGTAAACGATACTTACTCACTCACTTGACTGTTATCTTGCGTCCCAGTTGTGTAGATCAATCTTCATGTTGTCAGTAACTAGATTGTCTGATCAAGAGACTTCGATCGTTAAATTGTCATATAGGTGGAATATTGCTGAGTGTCATGTTAAACAACATCCATACAACATAATTCAGCTGATCTGCGAGCCTTTGTGTTATATACTAAGGGAGATAATTGTCCCCCCGCCGCAACGCGGAACGGGTGACTATGTATTCAGCAGCGTCCATGCGTATGTAGTGTTGTACCCAATGTCTTCAAATTTGGTGACAACCTACATTGGGGTATTACGCAGACACCAGTTGATATGGGTGACCTTAACCTTATGTTCAATGTCACCACCACACTTTGACCACTTTTAAATTTTATGTAAACGCAGTAAATATGTTATAAATATTTCATTCTTCTCTAGCGGCAGGGGAGATCGCCATATTAGTGGCAAACACTTGTTGTGTTTATCGGTTTCAGGACATTACACTAAAGTTATGTCCCTCACATCACTGTCATTCATGATGTGAATGAGTGTAGTTTTACGCCGCACTCAGCAATATTCCAGCTATATGGCGGCGGTCTGTAAATAATCGAGTCTGGACCAGACAATCCAGTAATCAACAGCATGAGCATCGATCTACACAATTGGGAACCAATGACATGCGTCAACCAAGTCAGCAAGCCTGACCACCCGATCCCGTTAATCGCCTCTTACGACAAGCATGGGGTACTGAAGATCAATTCTAACCCGGATCTTCACGGGTCCATTCATGTTGTAGGTAGTTTGTAAAGTTGTTGTTGTTCCTTGTTTATTATCCAATTTGTTAAGGGTACAATGATTTTCCTTTTTATGTAATTTATTTAGCAATGTCAATTTTGTTTTTCAGTGTACTCCCTAAAGGAAAGATGTATGCAGGTGGTTCGCAAGTATGTTCCACGAGACCAAATATGTCATCTTGAAGTGCCAACAACATTGAAACTTGCTTTAAAAGATACTGTTGTTATTGGTTGAAAGAAATGGTGCTACATTTCATCTGGTGCCATACCAGATCAGTTGGAGCAAGCGCCTTCAAGCATGGTCAGTGTCTTGGTAGAAACCTCTACAAACTGTGTGTCCTGTGACCATGGGATACGTTATGTAGAAGGGAATTCTGGGAAATGTTGTTCAGGGAGGAAAATGTGGAATAGATTGTTTCTGAGAGGAATCATGGGATTTGTTGTTTAGAAGAGAATTGTGGAATCGTTGTTTCAGAAAAGAAAATCTGGAATAAGTTGTTTCAGAATGCAATTTCAAGATGTTTCAGAAAGCAGTCATGCATTGTGTTAGCAGGGAGTCTTTTCTCTGCATACTTATCGTTCGAATTAGAATTCCAAAGAAACATATTTATTGGCATTAAATAACATATCTACTTGGATACATTTTCTTTTTTACATTTACTTTGTAAGTAAGTTTGTCGAAGTATGAAGAAACATCCTAATCAAATGCTGTTGGATGAATAAATCGGAAGCTAATTTTTAAAGTATTATTTCACATTCAGTATTCAGTCAAAGTTATTTGATACAGGTTTTCACCAAGGGCAATCTGTCTTTTTCTCATTTTTTGGTCAGAAAACAATCATTGAGAATAAGATGTGTTCATATATTATATGTTAATGATAAATCAGGTCATTCAGAATTTGCATAATTCAAATTCATCTGAACATGGGGACCAAGTAAAGCCGTATCCATGTATTTCCAAGGATGTGTTATAACGACTTACCGTAACCTTTTATGTTTATCAATATGTCCCAGACCCAGCTGTGAATGTGTTCACAAAGACATGCTAGACAGTCACTGAATAAACACGGTGTATTGACTTGTAAGGTTTTAAGATGAATGAATGCTTCTTGAAAAATATTTTTTTAAAACAGAAAATACATGGCATTTTGGATGTTTATGGATGTGATTACTGTTTCTAAGGACGGTTTGCTATAGCAGGGCTTGATTTAAGCATGTAGAACTTGCACTGGTGCAACCTGAAACTGCTAAATGCAACCTCTCATGTATATCAAATTGAGCCAGTGCATGTTAATATTTTGTGTTCAAAGTACTCAGACCTCAGCTGGAAAACAGAATGATGAGGAACTCACTTGGAACAGTGACTCTGATTATTGTATGAACAGTGACTGAAGGACTTGCTGTTCATGAAAGTTTAGGAAGTAAGATAACTACAGATTTCTTTTGTTATAATACTGTTCTAAACCGTCTTTACAAAAACTCAAGCATTATATAAGATTTTATATTAAGCTGCAGGTGCGATCTGTTTTTGTTTGGTGCAACAAGGTAATTGCTTTAGGTTGCACTGGGTGCAAGTAGGCTTCATGTCCTTAAATCGACCCCTGTATAGGTCCTGAGTGGACCAGATTTACCAGGGTGCCCTTCCACTAACCGATCTTATCTAAGATCAATCTTAGCAAGTTACGTCTATTTTACCATCGTCTAAGCTAAAAGTTATACCCATTCCGCTAACCGATCTTAGGCCGATCGTAACCGGTCCCAATCCTACAATCCGATCTAAGCTTAGATCGAGACTCTTTCGTGCGAGAGATAGAGAAATGTGTGGAAGTAGTTTTAGAACCAAGTTTAAACGTGGAGAAAAAACCTCGAGCAAAATATTAGGGTAGTGAGCAGCTTGATTTCAGGGGCAAGTGCGTGTGAACGCCGAGAACTACCTCGTCACAAGCACATCATCTGATAACGTATCTAGAATCTGTCAGTGGTCTTGAAAAACACGCGGCCTGCCTTAAAATTTAGAATCCCCTACCAAATAAGAGCAGGTGAAATCAAACATATTTGTATCTTTTTGTTTCAGAACATTGTTCACTTCCGACCCTCCCTGTTCTTAACCATGACGTTGCAATATTGTAGTACAAATGTATTACACCGACTCGCTCAGTTGTGTTCCCATGACGACAGTGGTCAGACTGGCCTCGCATTTGTAAGGCTTCAGTGCAGTGTTTGTTTACATCACAGAAGTAAACAAATTCATTTCATGGGGGTTTTAGGGGACGCTCATGGTGAAATGCTCGCTTCTTCTTCTTCACATAGACTATGAAAGCCACCACTTTGGTTTCTCTACGATTGATTTTAGCTTTCCTAAGTTGGTCATGAGCAACTTAGACCTTGGATCTTAACTTTACGATTGACTTGGGTAAGATTGGTTAATGGAACGGTAAGCCGATCGTAACGTCACGCTAAGATTGGCATTTTAGGGGTTTACGATTGGCGTAGGGCTAAGATCGGTTAGTGGAACGGCACCCAGGCTGTCAGACTTGAGTGATTGCTTGTCATAGTAAACTAATGATGTGGATCATAGCTCACTATATCTGTCTCTGGAGTTTCAGGATTGTATATGATTATCTACAGGCTGACATCATGGAGCTGGAATATTACTAATTGTTCCCTGACAAACTGAAGAACATTTTCCGAAACTGCAAACCTAATGGGTTTGTCATGCAGGCATGATGCATGTATAAAATCATGATTGACATCGGTCTGGGAATGATGAAATTACTGTTTTTTCAATGACAAGCTATGTTATGTATAGTTCACACCATGCCAAATTACATTCTGAGTCAATAGTGGAATGTTCTTACTTTGGTTCATGCCTAATGGAATATTTACACTTGCGTAATTTTGATTTGTGGATATAAGGTAACTGCTGTGAAAATCATATTTTAAATGCACGATTTTGTTTTGTGTACTCACTGATTATTTTATTCATTAATTCAACAGATTGAAAATGCCTAATATTCGACTTCTGAATGAATCGTTTGTTTACCGAAGTCATTTGTAATAACACCAATTTGTGTGCACACAAAATGTGACGTCACCTTGATTCGTGGATTACGTAGCTGGTTACTTTATATCACTATGTACGACAGCCCATTGCTGTAAGTATTGACACCTAGGAAAGCAGACAACGAGATGTGAGAAGGTTGCTTTGTGCTAACACAAGTAACAGTATCTTTTTACTTGACATTTTGTAAACATAATTGGTTTTTGGGGTTTTTTTTTCAATTTGCTTTATTTGCTGTTGAATACATGAACTTAAAAACTGTACAACAGTATGAGATATCTTGGTACACAAGCTGTGGTGAATTCGTGATACTCATGATCACCTCAATGGACACACACTGTGCAAAGATGGCATTGGTAATTGGTAAAAATATAATTTGGTATTTGTGGCATTAGTGATCTTGGGCTATTTATCTCAGTGCTGGACAATTAGATTTAGTACCGTATATGACCGTCTATAAGCCGACCCCATGGATAAGCCGACCCCCAAACTTGACCCTCAAAATCAGTGTCAAAATCATATCTCTCATGGATAGGCCGCCCTCCAGCGATGGGTCGCGGCCAACAGAGACCAGAGTACCCGGTAAGTATGTTCCATCAACGACGAGACACCATTCTGTTGTTTGTTCACGCGAGGTGATACGATGTTGTTTTCTTACCCCTGGAAAAAAGTTTGACGAAAGTGTAACTCATGGATAAGACGACCCCCTTCTACAGACTGCTTTTTTTGGTCCTCAAAATTCGGCTTATAGACGGTCATATACGGTACATTTAAGTGTAATGCAGAGATTCAGAACATATTTGTCAGCGAGGCGTGGCAATGTATGTACATCAAAAGTACTGCTTTGTGACATCATATGAGACTTAATTTTTTAGATAGCATGATAATTACCACGATCCACCAATCAAGGTTATCCACAAATTTAGGCTACTGTTCTGTACAGGAATGTCTCTATAACATGAAAATAATCTGGACCCAGTTTGGAAATATATTACTTCCACTCTTGATTCGAATTTGACACATGTGAGTTTGCATTTAATAAAAGAAAACAGTTCTTTCTGATTTAGTATTTTTACACTTTTCTCAGTTTTAGATTTGACGTAATACCTGAATCAATTTGACCCCAAAGATGTATATAGCAGCTTAAGAAGTTGTTGCTTTGTCAGTGTGTATTTAGTGATGGTTTCCAATGGTAATGCAGTCATGAGACATATTTTATGTCTTGTTTCAACAGATTTCGAAACCATAGTTTACTTAATTTGAAACTTGCTTATTCGCATAAGCACTGGCAACTATTGGCACATGTATCAGTCTGCTTACTCTTGTACATCCTCAGTTATTGAGTAAACCAAGCCATCGCAACTGTAAATACCTGTGAAGATCAGGGTTAGAATTGATCTTCAGTAACCCATGCTTGTCGTAAGAGGCGACTAACGGGATCGGGTGGTCAGGCTCGCTGACTTGGTTGACACATGTCATCGGTTCCCAATTGCATAGATTGATGCTCTTGCTGTTGATCACTGGATTGTCTGGTCCAGACTAAATTATTTACAGACCGCTGCCATATAGCTGGAATATTGCTGAGTGCGGCGTAAAACTAAACTCACTCACTCAGTTATTCAGTGGTATTTTGACTCCATGCTATAATGATAATGCCCTCAACCAATTCAGTATGAAAGCTGTGTTTTGAAACAATACTAAATATTATACTGTGTAATGAAGTTATAAAAAGATTGTGTCATGAACCCAGCTTTGATTTATCTGTTATCAGTTTGGTGCCTGGAATGTGCTGACATGAGGGGTTCCATCTCCAGATGTTGGTAATTCTGACAAAACAGATTTCAGTCAAGAAATTCACATTTGTGTCTTTTGAGATTCAGAAAATATTATCAGGTCATTGAAAAAACACTCAGTCATAAAGTTTATGGCATGAAATGAAACTTTGCTGTGAATGGTTCCTGGGTATTTTATCAGAATAGAACGGAGAAATACTCTTGAGAACTAAGGATCAGTTTTGTGTGATAAATATATCATCAAATTAGACATTTTTTTGTCAGGGAAGATTTTCAAAATGTTGTCATACATTTCCTACAATGTCCATTACCTCCCAAAGACCAGTGTCCTAGAATGTTGTAGTCTTCATTTGTATTGTCCTACAACAAGGAAGATGAAAATAATAATCTGAATGTGTTGGTGAAATAACTTGTGATATGTCTACTAAATCAGGTGTCAAAGAGTCACAAGTGTCACATAAAATCCTGAATCAGCATAGGGCTTACCTTTACAACCTTATACTTTATGACTGTTTCTCCACAAAATGCACAATAATATTAAAATACATCCCACAGGGCTCCAGATAAGGGCAGTATCGGCTTATGTACGGATAAAAAATATGCACAACACGGTAGGAAATCAGTTAGAAAACTGAGAATCGGTTACAGGCGTATTTATCTGAAAAAGTACTGTTTTATTGTTTATTGACCTGTTTACAGAAGAGTAGCAATGTTGTGGTGCATATATGAAACAAAACACAAGATTACTGATACTCCATTAATTTCCATTCAATACTCTAAATGTACACTTAAAGTTTTCCAGTACTCCTATATTGAACAAATAAGGAGTACTTATGTACTCCTGATGTTGAAAAACTATCTGGAGCCCTGCATCGCAGGTTTGTGTAAATGTGCAATAACAGCCATGCACACAGCATTATGCTTTAGTTATTTAAGCACTTATGTTTCATGTAGGTTTTTATGTACCAAATTTCTGGGCTCAGTGGTCATGTGATGTACTTACCGCTTTATGATCTTTTAAAGTAAATAAAGTAAATACTTTGGTCTATGAGGTGAGGTGAGATGAAATGAGGTTTAACGTTGTACTTAAGATTATTTCGCTCATATGACGACGTGCATGCATGTATGTGTGGCTGCTTGTACTAGCCCAGACTTAAGGTAGTTTTATAGTGCTAGCTCACCGAGATACCATGCCGCAGTTAAGCATGAATACCCCACTCAGACACA